TCCCTGCTTTTCCTTAGTGTGGAAGGGCTCTTCCTCTTTGATCAGCCCAAAATCGATTTCTAACCAAAGCTCCCATGTCTCTGGCCTCTTGAGAATAGAGGTGAAAATGGTTTTTTAAATTGTAAAATAATTTGCACAAACAAAATATTGCTATGTTAACTACGATGTTAACTGTTTTCTTATCTTTGGTATTTATTTTTAAAAGATTATTTGCCCTTTCAGATCATCATTAAATGTCCGGCAAAGTTGAAGCTGGTAGATAGGATGAGGAATGTAATCTCCACCTGCAAAAGGGGCCCCTTATCTTTTGGGACCATGACGGATGGGCACACACAATCTGTGAGAATGGGTTGTGGGTCCAGAGCATTCTGATTGTGGTGTGCGTGTAGAAAGCGCTCACTTTTCAGCCCTGTCCCTGCAGACTGGGCAGTGTCTAATCACTGCCAGAGCTGCCTAACTTTTCTTCCTGAATATTTTTAGCTCTTCCTCTTCTCCTTCCGTCTTTCATGCTTTTTCACCTGGAAAATCACTGTTGTTATTTGACCATAGTTTTGTCCCCTCTTAAATCAAGGTACAGTGAGGATGATCTATAGCTGAAACTATGGCAGCCATGGTTAGAATCCTTCAGAATCAATTCCTGTCAGCAAGCGCCTCAGCCACATAAGAGCTGTGCTTCTTCAAGCCACCCTCCTACAAACCCGTGCTGGTGTAGACACACTGACCCGCCTCTACTTCACTTACCTTACCAGGCTGTTTCCTATTTGTGTCTATCCTCACTACCTTCTCCACTGTGCTAGTTTCTGTTTTCTTCCAAGAATTCTTTCCCTGAACTCCGGGCTAGATTATGATTCCCTTTCCCATTCCCCCTTTGAATCCAGTGCATCAAGCAACACAGCCTCTGCCTTGTCAATAAATGTTTGTATTTCTGCCTGTCTTCCCTCACTGAACTGGTACTCTTTGGAAAATCAGGACTGTAAACTTCGGATACTTGTCAGTTGCTGCTTCCCATCCAGAAGTCAGATTTACTGTGATGTCTCAAAGAGGTAACCGCTTGTAACCTGACACTCTCACTGGATTCACCCTTCATTTTTCCTCCATAGCACTTATCATTTTATGTATTTTCTTGTTTATTTAGATGTGTGTTTTTAGTTTGGACCCCCATTAAACTACAGACTCCTTAAGAGCAGACATTTTCTGCCTTGTTCATCTTTTTATCACTATTACCTATAAAAGTGCTTAATAAATAGCAAATCTCCAATAAGTATGTATTTTCAAAACTGAATTCAGTTAGTTAAGGAAGGATTGACTGAAGGGTGGGCATATGATAAAATTTCAATAAAGTAATCAGACTTTAATTGGCCTTCCCATATTAGCTTCCCTGGATGAGCCAATGGTTTGATTTTATTCTTGTTCCCGCCATATTCACTCCCTTCCCCGGATAGGAGTACCCCCAAATAAGGCAACAGCAGAAGAAGAATATCAGAAACAACCTTCAAAGACTCACTAAACCCTAAATTCCAGACTCACCTATTCGAGGATTAACTTCTCTCTCCTCCAGCTTTGAAGTATTATTTTGAAGACTGTGTGCATACATACATGTGAAGATCAGGTGAATAACATTCTTCATACTCATGTCCTTATCTGATATTATTTCATATCTCTTCCTTCACCATTGATAGTGATGGCAATGTATTTCTCCATATTATCTTTCTTTTCAAGCATCTTATTGTTAATCACATAAGGTCACTTAGTCTTAGGTGTATAATCATTTACATTCTGGATTGCAAGTCCTTCATTAGTTTTACAACTGTTGGATTTACTAAGGCACTGGGGAAGTGGGTAGCACAGGCCAAGGGAAATTGGAATTTGAATCTTTTATTATGATGACCCATTTGTGGGCCACATGATCAGTGGGGAAAAATGGTTTTGTGACAGTTTTGCAGTGTGAAATAAATGTGAGACTTGAACTTCTTCAGTAGTTCACCGACAAGAGCCTGCATGCTAATCTTCAGTGCATACCTGTTGAGCTTGTCTGATGTATGAGGTGCTGTGTAGGAGTGGAGTAGGCTGTGGGTAGTTTCACCTTGATTGAGGTTCTCTCAAGAGGGGCTTGCAAGTAAGTGAATTACAGAGCCATGCTCATCAATTGTAAATAATTTATTGTTATAAAGGCTATTGAGTTAGGTGCTATCATCACCCTGTTTATCTGTCCTACTGGGAATTAACCCAGGATTTTCACACTGAGCTACATCCCTAATCATTATTTTATGGTTTTTATTTTGAGACAGGATCTCCCTAAGTTGCTGAATGCCCAGCCTAGCCTCCAACTTGGAGTCCTCCTGCCTCAGGCTCCCAGGGTGCTGGGATTACAGGGATGCAGTACCACACCTAGCTTCATGACTCAAATTTTTAAAAGACATCTAGCATCTAGTCATAGCACAACACCAATATAGTTTTAAAATCAATCATTGTTACTTGGTTTATGTGATTCTCTGCAACAGCTAACAGGCAATGTATTTGCTGAAGTCTGAGCTAATAAAGAGCTTGGTAGGTTAAGAGCATCAACAAAATAGACTTGGTGAGTAGTGTGCTTTGAGATCTGATCTCTCTTTTCAAACATTGCAAATACTGTCAGGATGTCCAGTTCCACCTAAGGTCTTGAGATACACACTGCTAAATGGCACGGAGTTCTTCCTGAGGCCCTCACAACCGTTTAATTGATGAAGCCCAGCTCTGCAGCTCTGCCAATCCAGCTAGTGGCCTGCAGTAAGTGGTCTGCAAGACGCGGCCTCGTCACCTGCTGTACCATTCTGCTCAGCCATGGCGCAGAACAAGGGCAGCGTCCTTGGGGCCCCTTCAATAGCAGTGCTGCTAAAAAGCCAGGCTTCTGCAGTTCTTAAATCAGACCAAGTGACATCATGAAAGTTTCTTACTATTTTAAGAAGTTTATAAAACTATTAAAGTTTAAAATAGGCAGCAAGGGGCTGGGGATTTAGCTCAGTGGTTTTGCCACCTGCTGTGCAAGCCCAAGTACCCGAGTTTGATCCCTGGTACCAAAAAAATAAATAAATAAATAATAATAATAATAATAATAATAATAAAATAGGCAGCAGTAAAATAAAGGATCAACATTTGTGTTTTTCAACGTTAAGGGTTTTGGAATGTGAAAATAAGATTATTATCCACAGCTTCTAATATTGCGATTTTTTAAATGAATGAATTATTAATTTAATGACCAATATGATGTCGAGTACTTTCATGAAGTGTAACATTCCCATGTTATCTAGATTTAACATATCCAGTGAATGATGTTTTAATTGTAAATTGCAAAGATGAAATTTTACTGTGTTCATACCATCTTTGCTAGTACTGTCTGATTAAAATTATTATTTATCCATGTCTTTTAATTCTCTTTATAAAAATGTTTAAAGGTTTTAAAGGCATTTGAAAAATGTTACTATTGTGCTTACAGCCTCTTACTGTTTCACCATGGAATTACAAAGAAGAGCACATTTATTGCAATGAAATGCAATTAACAGTGAAAATATCTCCCTAACTTCTAAAGAAATTATGATCCAGTGATGGCAATGTTTTTCTCAGTCATGGTCTGAGAACAGCATTTGATTGCTGACTAATATTAGGCTACAGAACAATGAAAATTTAAACTGTCCTTGGTGGTAATCATTGGTCAAATTGACTTATGTGTGCCAACATTTAATGGTGGCAATGAGCCCTTTTTCAAATTTTCAAGAATTCTTGAATGATATGTTGTAGTAAATTTCATAATATAATTATCATATTAACTAATCCTATATTGGCAACAATTTAAATATAGTGTGCAAAATGTTAAATATTATTCTATTTATTATCCAAATTTAGGTTGGCAAACATGTAAATATAATGTATGAAATGTTAAAGAAATTAAGAAAATTAGGTATAGTTTTTGTTATATCATAATTCTACCTATTTTGAATTTTCAAAGCTGAAATTAAATCTGGTAAATCGTATTAAATTATTAAGGAATTAAAATACATATGATGCATATAACTATATAGTCAATGTACATATATATTTTAGATGAAATTAACTCCATTTCTGATTTTAAGAACTAAACATGTTTAGTATCAGAGGACATTTTATTGGAGTCTGTTTTTAATCTTAGTGTTTTAAATATTTATCATGCAATTATATTAGGTTTCTAATTCACAAATTCTTAGAAAAATAAAAGAAAATTATGATGCAAATACAGAATCCTTAGAGAATTATAAATTTTGTCCTAAAATATTACAAAGAAAAATATTTCAATACCTTGACTTGCTGCATGATATTGTCTTACACGATTACAGTTATAACTCTCCGTATGAAAATAATTTCTCTACCTCTTTCCTGTCGTTTACAATATATCATAGATAGTTTAATATTTTACTATGTAGACAGATTTGTATATATCCACTCTTGGCAAAGCAAAACTTCTATGGCTAAAAAAGTTTCACATAAGAAAAAAAAAGTTTCACAGTGAAAAATGCTGTGAGTGCAAAACTGGTTTTGGCTGAAAAGTTAGATGCACATTAATTGCCTCAACAAGTCTTTACGAGGGCTTATGATTTAGGGTTTAGGAGAGGTCATTATCTCTGAGAATATGGAATGTGACATGGGCCCTTTACAATTTCTTATTGGTATAACTGAAAAGAGATAGACCTGTGAAGAGCGTGATGCTCTTGTTACCATGACCAGCTCACAGCAAGTAATCGGCACATAGAGTAGAATCAGCACGCATAAGGGACAGGTCTGTTCTGAAGCCTCTTTCAGAGCAAAGGAAGAAAAGCAACAATGATTTCCTTCGTGCAGTGATTAATACTAGATCTACGGACTATGGGGGCTTAAGTGGTAGGATGGCTCTAATTAAATTCCATTTAGAAATATTTTATATCACACCTAATAGCCACATTTTGCATGTGGGGTTTCTAATATGTTTGCATTTTTTCCTGATTTGTTCCCAGAATGTTCAGGCCCATTGGGAATTGAAGGTGGAATCATATCAAATCAGCAAATCACAGCCTCATCTACCCACCGAGCTCTTTTTGGACTCCAGAAATGGTACCCCTACTATGCACGTCTTAATAAGAAGGGACTGATAAATGCCTGGACGGCTGCAGAAAATGACAGATGGCCATGGATTCAGGTAACACTGGGGTGATACACAGTTTTGCCTAAATGCCTGTTGTCATATGAAAAAGAAGACAAGAAATCACTCATGGTCTCAGAAAAGGTAATTTAGTTAAGGGTTCAGTTTGGCTACAGATGCTAAAAATGTGAAGAACATACACATTCCACTGGCAAGTGTATTAGAGGGATTTAAAGTGATAAAATTCTTGAGCTATATAAACACTATCTTAAGATACATCAGAGAAAGTCTCAGATACATGTTCATTCAGAACATGCCAATTTAGACAGCAACTCCCACAAAATTAGCAACTAATTAGCACCTCTCCTACAAAAAAAATTACACCTATTCCTTCTCTGTGTCTGAGATGTGGCTTTGCATGTGAAAATGTAAAATACACAATGGATACGACAATGTCTCAAATGTTAGCAGCATGGTCTTTCAGTGATTAAGGACTTTCAACTCATAGTGTCAGGTACAGTATTCTCATCAGCCCACTGATTTTTAAAGAAGAATACAATACCCTGAGATACTAAGTATTTTCCCAGGGGTTACACATAGAGTAGTAATGTGAAAACCTGATATTTCTTCCTTTTAATTCTTTCTGAAACCATAAAGTAAAAGTTAGAGAACAAAAAGATGATCATAAGTGGTTCCTGAGAAGGATTGTACCTGTCAGGAACATAGCTCATTAGTATCCGGTTATCTGGTCACATGGAAGTATCCTAAAGGGAAAACAGGTGCACATGCTCTGGGGTCAAAGGAAGAAGAAATCATGCTGGGAAAGTTGCCTGGTGGAGACAGCTTCCGAAGGGCCTTGCAAAAGAGCTTGCGATAGACTCGATGGCGAAGGAACAGCAGTCACAGGTGTGATAGGAGTCCGGGAAGCTCCTGTAGAAAATCACAACAAGAAAAGATTGCTGGAGGGATTCGTTAGTTTGCTGTGCCACAGGATCCACCAAAAAGCTCTGGCCTTTCCCACTGGAGTAGGGGGCGGTTACGCAGAACTTTGATCAGCTTAGGTGCCGACATCTGTTCTCCCTGTTTGCTACATATTTTGAGTCAGAGAAACTTTGATGTGACATTATTAAATGTGATGTATAAAGGTTGCTTTACAGGCATTTAATAAAAAGGAAAATTGATTTATGGCCAAGTAACAAGACTTTCATACTTGGGAACTGGGGTGAAATCTTCAAATACTTCCTTTGTTGAATAAATCTTATATGTCTCATAGAGATTTATTTTATCTAAGCAGCAATATATGGTGGACCAGCGTACTTGTTTTGTTTTATAAATTTATGTCTGCGTGTACTTGTGAAAATTGCTTCTTAAATTACATGTGACTTTTCTCATCTATAGCCACATGTACAAAAAGAATTTCAAAAAGTAAAATAACACATCTGTACAGTTTTGATTAGAGACTGAGGAAAATCCAATTAATTTAAAAATAGATACAAAATAAAAGAAACTGTATATATAATACTCATTCCAGAGTTATGTTTAGCCATTATAGTTGACCACTGTATTTTGAAATGCATTTGTGGAATTGCAGTCATGATAAAACTTTAAAAGTTGTTAATATTTCATACTTTGATTTTTTTGCATTACTTTGCCCAAGTTTATTGCCCACTTTACACAATGTATCATTCTGCCTTTCAAAGTACAGACCTTCCGTTCTCTTTGTCTCAGGCATAATAGGGAGAAGTAAGTTCAATGGAGCAAGACAATGATCCTCTCAGGGAAATTTAGATTAAATATAACTTTGCCTGTCATCTTAAGCAGAATAGTTTAAAACTTACTTTTATGGCCAGTGGGTTGATGATGATGATGATGGCAGCGATAATTTGCTTTTTTTCTGAAGATGATCATGAACTTTTATAGAAAAACAGCAGAAGTAAATATAAAACGTTTCATATTAGAAGAATGGGTGAAAAAAACTAAAACGCATCACTGTTACACAGTACTCAGTGAGTATGTTCAAGGTATTTTTTTTTTGCATTCTTTAATAATATCTTGTTTTTTATGTTATTTCCTGCAAAGGAAACTTTATAAATTACTTAAAGGAAAATCATCTTTAAGAGACTCTGAGGAGATTAATCCCATAATGAATTTTCAGTGTTTAAGCATTCATTTTAAAAATTTTTTATCAGGACATGTTTGTAGTGCATAATATTTATATTCCTTACGAGACGTTTGCACACGGACACAACGCATCCTCAGTCCTTTTTACACCTGTTTCTCCTCCCTCCCACCTTCTCTTCTTCCCTGCCCATTTGAGAAAGATGTATCACCTTTCCTATTAGCTGTCTTTTATTTCTCTCTCTATTTATAACTTGGGTTTCTCATATAAAAGAAACCACATTTCATCCTTTTCTTTGTATTCAGTCCTTTAAATGAAACATGTGAGCACTTCGCTTAAACCTGCTTATAATGAGCATAGTATTCTCCTAATCTTTTAGGTATATAACACACATGCACTAATTAGTATTCAATTTAATTTTCTTCCTTGTCTTGATAATGAAAATTGAAAATGCCATTTTAAATTTACTTGCTCAGCAGGCAATTATTGATAGTAGCACAGTGCTCATAATTGGTTCTGGATTTAAAGAATCAGTATAGAAAAATACAGTTAAACAAAAACTTTTTTCTTTTTTAACATATTTCTGACGTTTATTTCTTCACTTAGATTTTTCCAACTATTAAATAACACCATGTTAAGCATTTCCTTAGCATTTTGGAATATACATTTCTCAGTTGATGTGTTATAAATAGCAATGTCACAATTATGGAAGGGTATCTTTGATTATCTCAAGTAAAAATATAAAAAGCTTATTTAAAATGTTCAGATGAGTTTTTGAGTAGATGTATAGGTCTGTTTTCCTGTTGCTTGTAGAAAATACCCAAACTGCAACTTACAGGAGGGGAGTAATTAGGCTCAGGGTTTCAAGGGTTCAGTCCATGATCAGCTGGCTGCAAGGCAGGAACATCGTGGTGGAAGGGTGTGGCAGAGCACTTCCTGCCACCAGGAAGCACAGCACAGAGGACCAGTGCCAATGGGAGTTAGACCCTCCAAAGACTGACCCCAATGTCCCCCCTCCTTCTGCAGGACAAGCTCCTACCAATGCATTCAAAGTGAACATCCCTGGATTCATCCATAATGAGTAAATGTCCCCAAGAACTAATCGCCTCCCCAGGAGTCTCTCAGTTCACTCAAATTGATGATTAAGATTAATTAGCACAGAAGGATTAGCCAAGATGATTATTTCTTATTTATTTGTAAAGATTTATTTTTTATTTTCTATCCCTGTGCATATTTTCTTTTGTTTTTTTTTCTAACAGTATATAGTACATCTTCTATTTTTTTTAAATCTCTAAAGTGACTTTGTATTATAGTGTAGGTCTTAAATGTCCCCCAGAAGTCTCATGTACTTGGAAGGTGACTGGATCATGAGAGTGCTGTACTCATCAGTGGATTCATCTATTGATGATTTCACAGCTGCATGTGCTGCTGAAAGGTGGGGCCTGGTTGGAGACAGGTCACTGGGGAGGGGGTGGCCTGGAAGGGTGCATTCTCGCCGCTGGCTTTTCCTTTCTCTCCTGTTTCCTGCCTGCCAGGAGCTGAGCTGCTGTCCTCTAACAGTCCCCTCCACAATGACGCTTTTGTCTTAGAACAAGAAAACCTTGGGCTGAGCCAGGGAAATTGGGATCCAGTCGAGCACTCCTCCTTAAAGTTATGGGTGTCAGATATTGTGTCCAGCAACGCAAAAGCTGACCGACACATTTTGCTTGCACACACCTTGAATTTCTAGCTATTCATTTACTGTATTTATCCATTTAACAGACATTTACAGAATGAGTGTTACTCTGCACTGTATTACTTAAAAAAATGCACCAAAAAACTGCATTTCCCTTCAAGATACTATGAATCTAGAAAATAGAAAAGTAAATACCCAATATATTTTGATCTTATTTTCCATGGTCTCCTAACTGTTTCATGTGAATCATGATATTTTTATATCCAAATGGCCTATTTTAATAGGACTTTTATGAAACCTAAACTACATTAGCTTTATATAGAATACAGACAGAATTTCCCATTACACTATTATCTCACTATAGTATTGTATGTTGATTTAGTATATTACTAACACCAATTTTTGTATGGAAGTAAATTTACTCTTAGTCATGTCAGTAACTGAGAAAAATGAAGTTTGAGCTCTCTTTTGAATAATTCTCCTTTTAGAAAATGTGGCTATGATTTTAATATGTTCTGGTTCTTCTATATACGACAGTGTTTGTAAGGGGAAGAGATAGCTATTTTTTTAAACTTTAATGTGCCAAGGAATCATGAGTGACTTGGTAAAAATAGAAATTTCTAGATTTCTCCCCAGGTCAGCCTCGGAATGCTCTGTAAAAACTTGTCTCATCAGCTTGGGGAGTTAATATTTGTACAGTCTGAATTACAGAAACAAGATAAATAAAGTAAAAACAGTTTTGCCTGATGATCTTGGTACTGTGCTGATGGAACTCCAAATAGTGATGATTGCATGGGGTGGAGAGAGTTGAAAGACAGGTGAAATAAAATTAAAAAAAAAAAGGAAATTGGAAAGTCTCTAAGCCAGGGGGAGGCAGATCCAAGATATGTATCTTTATCAGAAGTGCATCCAGCTTAAACAACAATTCTCAAGTACTATGCATTAATTATGAAACATCATATTCCTAAGTGACTCTCAGATTCTTCTTTTTTATGATATTTCAAATATACAAATGCAAAATTATCTGACTTCTGCATTTAAATAATATAACTGTAAACAAAGAATAACTTACTATTGAGCCCCCCAAAAATGATATGAGCACAAATTATATCACAGATTCCTGAAATACAAATGTCATATGAATTTTTTAAAACACTTTAACTTGAGGATTGAAAATGCAAAAAAAATTATATATTCTTTGTCACAAGTTTGTACATAATGTGTATGAAAAATCTTATGGTAACTATCAACACCTTGAACTTC